AGGCACAGCTTTCAGAAAATATTTCAGTAATATATTTGAGACTGAAGGCATGTGAGCACAGAGGGCTTGAAGCTGGACAGTCTCTTTTTGGGTTGCACATAAGCTGGTGACAAAGGAAGCAGTTGGAATCAGCTTATTCCACATACTTGTGACTCAAGTCACAAATGCAAGAGAGCTTAAACTCCATCTTCAGGTACTATGGCCATGCTTGCACACATGTGTACCTGTATAACACCATGTGTGTTCATTTTCCCACATTGATTAGCTATGCTTTTCCAAGCAGAATCTCATTTGTTTGTTTTCTTCCCACATATTTAATTTTCAAGGTTCTGCTCCTACAGCTGGTGATATATAACCAAGAAGAATTTGTTATGACTGTTTTGAAAAGCTGTTTTAAATTGTCCTCGATGAATCTCTTAAGAGGGCATTTCTTCCCTTTCATCTCAGAAACATTCAGGAAAAGGGAGATAGGAAGAATAATGCCTGTATGCCTTTGCTGGGCTATGCTGACCTTGTGTAAGAGTTCTGAGTAGGCTTGAGAGACATCTGGGAAGGGACTGTGATGTGTGTGACAACAGGCAGTGACTTAGAGAGGAGGGGGCTGTCTGGAGCAATGACTTAGGTGCACCTTCCTAGGCAGCCCTTTTGTTAGATGGTTCCAAGTGAACTGCTCAGCACCTGCCTATCAATAATTCTCCAGGCAGAAGGGGCTGGCAAGAGCCTGGGCCTGAGCTGGGCTCAGAAGCAATTTGTGCAACCTCTTGAACACTGTGGAACATGTGTCGCTCCTGTCTTGCATCACTGCTCTCTGCTCTTACTGCCTGGAGTTTCTGTTGTCCCCGGGCTCTGTGAGATATGAATTGGTGTTATTTTCTGTTCCTAATAATTTTTGAATCAGCTGTACAGATTTTCACAAAGAGCAAACATTAAAGAGCCTCAAAAGCAAACACCTAGCAGTGATGTGAAGCCTAGGGTGCCCATAGCCTCTGAAATATATAAGGAGTAGCTTGATGTCTTAAGATTTTATTGTACTTCACCTTAGAGGAATAAGCTGGCTAGGAGGTGGCCAGAAAATTCCCTCTGAAAAACTGAAACTTTCTAGAATCATGCAATATTCTGAATTGGAAGGGACCCAAAAGGATCATCCAGTCCAGTCCCTGGCCCTGCCCAGGACACTACAGCAATCCCAGCCTGTGCATTCCTGAGAGCATTGTTCAAACGCTTCTGGAACTCTGGCAGCCCCGGGGCTGGGACCATTCCCTGGGGAGCCTGTTTCAGTGGCTTAGTGGCTTTTTTAGTAGCTTTCACTTAGTGGTTTTTCCTGCAGTATCTATTCTCTGGATTGCCGGGTCAAGGCCCCAGCCGCTGCAGAGCCTGGGAATGTTCAGCCAGGTGTAGCTGACACTTTTCTTTCTCCTTTTCTTTGAATGCAGGATCTGAAGAGGAGGTCCAGGATGTCCGTGAACACTCAGTTTAATAAAACACTGGCCTGTTTTCTCACTGGGAATTGGAGTGGACACAGATGTTGATGGAGCTTCTCACATCTGGCTCTGCCCAGGCCTGTCCTGCTGAGACACAGACTGGCAAGAGCAACGGGCCATTCGTGGTCTCCTGACACGTCCCCACGCCCTGACAATCACACAGACAGATCCGTGCTCTCCAGGCCTGTCTCCTCTGGAGGCACAGGCAGCCCCTCCTCATCCCATGGCACCGCTCCAAGCTGGGCAGGGCTCCCAGGGAGAGCTCACCGAGTGAGTGCAAGCTGCTATTTTGGCATGTTCATGCCACAGAAGGTTTTTCTAAACACTGCAAAAATAAACAAGCCTTCGAGACCAAAAGCTGCAGAAATTACTTTCTGTGGCCTGGTAGCTCCTGACTTCATTTCCTCACTTAGGTCAAAAGCCAGATTTCTTCAATTAACTTTTCCATGCTTATTTCAGACGCCAGGATCAAGCTGTTCTCCATCTCACCGCTCACAGGGCTGCCCTGCAAGGTGCTGCTTCTGACTTCAGTGGAAACCAAGTGCTCTGATCACTTGGTCACCTCAGTGTCCCTCAGCTGACACCATCTCAGCCACTGACTGACTGTTTGCCAGCAGCAGGAGAGGGGAAGACACAGGGATGTCAGCATTTCTGGGAAGGAGCTGGATCAGACTCTTTCCATTGCAAAGAATCCACCCTCTCATCTGGCAATGCGAACAAAGTTTCTCACTCACCCGCTAACTCCTCCTCCTACCTTTAAATAGCTGTCATGGCCAGCCCTGTTAAGAGCATATTTCAAACATATCTTAGATGTCCCCATCACAGGAGTAATACAAAATCCTGGAGGTCATGTGGTTCCTGCTTCTCTCCTTCCTCTCATTGCCCCAAGACACAGCAAAAATTCCCAGCAAAAGCCTCCATAATAAATGCAGAGCAGAGCCCTATCCATCACCAACCTTAACTTCATATTCTGAGACTCCTGAAATCCTTCAAAAGGATTTTTCTGTCTTTTCCAACATCTTGATGATTCAGGGAGAAAACTTGAGAAGTCATCAGGCTCTATTTTATTACGTTCCCACTCCCCCATTTATGAATATTTTGGGTTTTTCTGAATGCCACTGGTTCTTATTTCCTACATCTCATAATATGCAGACATTCAAGCAAAATAAAACCTGCCAAATTAAAAAAATACAGAACCCATGCAGCTTTCAAACAACAGAGAATTCCCGTCAGGTACACTGCCCTAAATGATCAGTCAGGCCAAAGGATCAGCTAGATTCCCATGTGAAGTGCACGTTTCTGTGGCACCAAGTGCTTCCAAACACAAGCATTGGTGAGGATACAGCACTGGAGCTAAAGACAACTCTTAACAATTTGAAACTTGACGTAGGGACAGACTTTCCCATCTGCTCAGTAAAGCTTCCCGTGTCTTCCTTTGAAGCAGCAGCTTCTCAAGAGAGCACTCTGGTGATGCAATCCCAGTTCAGGATAATCCTCTGCCTTCCTTTGTTGGTGGGAAAGCTTTTTACGGGGTTTGCTGCCCTTAATCCTTGAAAAAGGCATCTTTGTCCCAGCTGCTAATCAGTCCCTGACAGTCAAGTGATCAGCCAATAGCGCTGTTTTAAACCCAACATTATTCCCTTGTAGTGCTCATTCCTTGTCTCCTTGTGACCAGGCCCCTGTGGGACCTTTCAGTCTAGGGAAGAGCTGAATATCTTCCATCAAAGAACCCAGCAGAATTAAATTCAGACCTTTCCAGGCTCTTGTTTGTCCTACAGTGCAAGCAGAAGACACGAGCTCAGAAAGTTTGCTCCTGTGCAGGGAAGTCAGTCTTAAACTAGAGGAAAAATCCAGGAGCGGGTCTGGATTCATCCCATTCAGTTTCTCATGCTCCTGGTCTGTGGCTTGTCTGAACCAGCTCCCTGTGTCCTTGACCATCCTGGAGGGCTCAGAGGCTTAACAGAGGGGGAGGGTCATGAAGTCAGGGTACTTCCACTGCTTTTTTTAGGAGTCGGGAAGGCAGAGAGCCTCCAGGGATGCATTTCACTGCTCAAAGGAACAAGTGCAGCTCTAAAGCCCTCTCTTTGCCTCCTTATCCCTAACAGGAGATTCCTGAATTGGTGAGCCACAAGCTTCTTTGGGAAAGCTGCACCCTCTCCACTCCCCACTGCAGTATTACCAGGCTGCCAGGACAGCACCTGCTTACAGGTGTCTCCCTTCCCCGACCTTATGCTGCTGCTCCTGTTCACGTAGGAAATGCTGGAGTGCAGGTCTGCCTCGGTGGGGGCTCGGTGAGGAGAGGGAGGAACTGTCTGGGAACTTGGGTTTGAAAGATCCTCTTCACTAGATGGATGACTATCCTTGGCTGTCTGGAAGGGAAGAAGCAGTATCTGAGAAAACAGGGAATGGTTCCTCACAGTTCTTTGCCTCTTGCTTCTGGGTGATGCTTTTGAGTGCTTGGTGCCTGTGGGCTCCACAGTGGAATTTCTCCAGCATTCCTGCAGTGATGCAGAGCTCATTTTCCTTCTTTGCATCCCAAGTCACAGCAAAAAACTGATGGAAGCCAGGGCATCCCAAGCTCCCTCTATCCAGACTGAAGGTCCAGTCCTGCTGGGACCCTGCATGTAGTCGGGCTGGCTGCACATCTCCCCTCCTGCACAAATCCTTCAGATCCTTTGGAAATGTGAATATCGGTTCGTTTTGTTGTTGCTTTTTGTTTCGTTTGTTTGGGTTTTTGGTTTTTTGTTTGGTTTTTTTGTGGTTTTGTTTTGTTTGTTTGTTTGTTGGGTTTTTTTGTTGTTTGTTTGGTTGGTTTTTTGGGGTTTTTTTTTTGCTGAGTCTATCCTGGCACTCGGGATTTGGGAATAAATTATGACCCAGGGGAAAAAAAACACACACACACACACACACACACACAGAAAAAAAAAAAAAAGAATACGTTTTATATGTATGCAAAACTGTGTATTTATGTCAGATAAACACAAAGATATGTGAATATGCTGATGTGCTCAGAAATATATTTATTTACTAATATATTTATCCATGTACCCGTTTGCTGTCTGCGTTTGTTCTTTGTGCGTGGGGCTGCGCTGGCGGAGGAGCCCCCGGGGACGGAGCCCCCGCCCGCCGCTCCCGCTCGGACCCGGGGAGGATCCAGGGCCGGGGCGGGACCGTGCCCGGGACCGTGCCCGTGCCCGTGCCCGCGGTGGATCCAGGGGCGGGGCCGCTCCCGTTCTCGTTCCCGTTCCCGTTCCCGTTCCCGGGGCGGGGCGGGTCCAGGGGCGGGGCCGTTCCCGTTCCCGGGGCGGGGCGGGTCCAGGGGCGGGGCCG